AAAAGAAACTCTCAGCACCGCGCTCCCAAAGAAATAAAAAATCCTATGAAAAAATAAGTTTATCAATTCATTGAAATAGTTTTTCTGCGTCAATTGAAACTTTCGATAACTTTCGCTGTAATTTTTGGCTAGTCTGGCCTTGAATAAGTTGTGATTTTGATTAGATTTAACACTAACCCATATACTACTTGCCTTGCTAGTAACGAGCTCGATTTTGGGAATAAAATTGGGAAAAACGCACCACGACATTCACCTAGCACGCATAGAAAAGGGCCATAAAACCCAAATTCCTTCAAAAACGCATAAAAACTATAAGAAAACATATATTACACCGCAGCGCAGTTATTCTCGCAAAATTCACAACAATGCTGCGCCTATTTCATAAAAACTATACCGAACTTGCGCTTATTTCGACTCCAAAACTTCCAAAAAAGTTCCAAATTCACAGAAAACGTGGCCAGCAGTTTGTATCCCTAAAAACTACGCGGAAATTCACCTAAATCGCCTAAGAAAACGCTATAAAGCTCCCGATTCCTTCAAAAAGAACATGGCAACTATAAAAAACATGTATTAGACTGCTGCGCTGTTAATATCGGAGAATACGCAAAATCATACCCTAAATAATTTATTCCAAGCGAAGCGTAATGTCAAATAATTAATTCAGAAACACATTTAGCCCACTTTATATCATTCCTTCTTCTCGATGCGCTCCTTTGTAGCTGATGAGGTGGTCGTTGAACTTGCGGGCGACGGGCATGTGCTCCTCGCATTGCTTCTCGAAATCGGCGGTGAGTGCCGTCATCTCATCCGCCACCGCTTGCCCTCGTCGTAGTGGCCCTTGTCGTTGATCTCCTTCCAATTTGTCGGCCCCCGCCTTGGTCATCGCCGCCATTCCGTCTCGAATCGAAGGCGTGTAGATGCTGAAAGAACAATAAAATGGTTTATAAATGAAATCAACCTATTCAAGAAATTTCAACAAAATTACCTGGAAATTCTTGTCGTATCCCTCGAACACGCCAAGAATGTGGGTAGATGCGCGATCTTGGAAGGCTGAGAGCTCGACTTGGAGAAGTGCGACGATCTAGTTGCCCCTTGATGCGACTTGACAAAGCAACCGCCGCACGTCACCATCGAGCAATCGTTGCAGTGGATCAAAGGGAGATCGGTGCCGACGCTTTTGCAGTCGCCACACTGCTTGGAGATGATTTCTGGCTCTTCGGGCTGCTTCTCCTCTTCGGCGAGCAGAGAGCTTGAATACTTCGCCAGGCTTCTCTTTCTGAAGCTGATCGACGAACTGGAGAAGAATTGTGCGTTCTCGGGTTCGCATCGTTGCCATAGAATTCCGCGGACGTATAGCATTTACTCGCGCTATTATTTGCCTTGCAAGCCTGGCAAATCAGATGGCCACACATCAGAAAATGTGGCCGTCGTGGGTTGTTGCCTCGGAAGAACTTTTTGCATCCGGGCATCGTGGAAGGTTGGGAGTACCTTCCAGAGTGTATCCTTCGACATTCATCTTCAATGCGGGTTGGCTGAGAAGGTCGAGAAGCCAGTAGGCCGACGTTGTTTTTCCTTTAAAAGTGCTGCATCCAATCCTCATCCCATTTCCGTCCAGAAACCCACGGAGGGATTTCGGAAGACCTTCTTTGTTGTTAAACGGGTGGCCGCACATGCAGGTGAAGCACTTGTAGATCCCCATGCGAGTTGACGATGATCGAGTTGTGCGCGTTCCAAATCGGGTTGATAGACCTAAAAGAATTTATAAAAGGGTTAAAACGTTGTAAAAAAGAGGAGAAGGATGAAGACACAAAGATTAAACACGAACACGAAGACACGAAGTTATTAGTACCAGTGTTATTCATAGGGAAATTATTCTTTCTATCGCTAAAAAAGGGGAATATAAGAAATCATAAAAGAACTGACGCAGAGTTTAGCAAAAAGAAAGGGAAGTTTGCAAAATTGTCTATAAGAAACACTAGAAAAAGCTCATTGGCCGGAAGAATATAACTGCAACGCTATTCTCGATGTAAAAACCAAGAAAAACGGTTTCAAAGAGTTTATAAAGTTTGCTAAAACACACGAAAACTATGATCGCATAGAAATATATAGAATACAATAAATAAAACTGAAAGTAAGACGAATTTGAGACTTTTATTCGTGTGTTTTAGTCGATAAAAGTGGGAAAAGTCGAAAAATGGCCTGATTGCCGCGGAAAGTACGATTTTAAAGGCCACACTAGAAAAGTAAACTCAGCGCCGCGCCCCCAAAGAAATAAAAAATCTTTTGAAAAAATAGTTTTATCAATTAAAGGGCTGCCGACGGCATGTGTCGATCCCCCCTCATCAACAAATTGGCAAGTAGCCAACAGGGCGAGAGCGCGCCCCGGTGAGAGGCGCAGAGACATTTTCTTTCCAGCGCGTAACCGATTGACTATGCCGTCGGCATCCCTTTAATTAAACAGATTTTTTCTTCTTCAAAAGAAAGAAAAGAAAGTTGAGTCCACCGGCTTGTTATCTTCCTTTTCTCGAGCTGTTCGTGTCGCACGATAGCCCGTATATCAATTTTTCAACGTTTTCCAGTTTTAGTTACTAATATGTAGTTTAGAATTAATTTTTCTTATTGTATTCTACTCGATCGACATTTCAATTCAATCCAAAGTTTTTAGCGCGTTGAAACTGTTTTTCCTAGGTTTTGGTCAAAAAGAACGCTGTCTTGCTAATCAAATCTCGCAAAACTTTGCTCATTTTGCTCTATCCGCTAGCTTTTATTTTTACAGGGTTTTCCCAGCTGTTTTTTTGTTAAACCTAGCGCGAAATTTCGTTTTCTTTTTGTATTTGATCTTCGCTTACCTTTTTTCCCTTTCTCGTAGTAACAATTATTGGTGTATTAATGATTGTAGAAATAGCTATTGATACCCGCGTTTTCTTTTTCTTCTTTGGCATAACGTTCTCCAACCCATTAACGATTTTTTTTAGGTCTATCAACCCGATTTCGCACCTGCGCAACTCGACCATCGTCAATTCCCATGGGGATCTACGTGCTTCAACTGTCCGTACTCCAACGACGTCTTTGACGACAGGCCGTCGGGGGAATTATCATCCGTACGTTGGTCTACATGGTAGCACGATGTGTATTGCAAGTCGTTGCGAACTGGATACAGTCAAAGCTCCGGCTCACTGGCTTCTCGATCTTCTCAGCCAGCCCAGCTTGGACGAGCAGCGTGATGGCTACATCATCACAAGGCGTTCCCAACCTTCCACGATGCCCCGGATGCAAAAAGTTCTTCAGACGCAAGAACACGCGACGGCCACATTTTCTGATGTGGGCCATCTGATTTGCCAGGGTTGCAAGGCAAATAATAGCGCGAATAAATGCTATACGTGCGCGGAATTTATGGCAACGATGCGAGCCCGGAATGCACAATTCTTCTCCAGTTCGTCGATCAGCTTCAGAAAGAAAAGCCAGAAGAAATTTTGGGAAGCTTCTGCTCGCCGAAGAGGAGGGAGAAGCCCGACAAGCCAACGATTACATTGAAGGAGTGTAGCGACTGCACGATCTCGGTGCCAATTTCGGCCTTGATCCACTGCAACGATTGCTCGCTGGCGACGTGCGGCGGATGCTACTTTAAAAAGCACAAAGGGCACGACGGCGTCGAGTTGCTGGGGATTGAGCTATCAGCTCTCCAAGATCGCGCATCTACCCACATTCTCGGCGTGTTCGAGGGATACGACAAGAATTTCCAGGTAATTTTGTTGAAATTTCTTTATTAAGTTGATGGTATTTAAAAAACCACTTTATTGTTCTTTTTCAGCATCTACACGCCTCGATTCGCGACGGAATGGCGGCGATGACCAAGGCGGGGGCCGACAAATTGAAGCAGATCAACGACAAGGGCCACTACGACGAGGGCAAAGCGGTGGCGGATGAGATGACGGCACTCTCCGCCGATTTCGAGAAGCCATGCGAGGAGTACATGCCCGTCGCCCGCAAGTTCAACGACCACCTCATCAGCTACAAGGAGCGCATCGAGAAGAAGGAATGATATAAAGTGGGCTAAACGTGTTTGTGAATTAATTATTTGACATTACGCTTGCTTGAATAAATTATTTAGGGTATGAGTTTTGCGTATTCTCCTATATTAACTGCGCTGTAGTCTGATACATGTTTTTTTATAGTTTCCATGCCCTTTTATAGGAATCTTCGACTTTATAGCGTTTTCTTGGGCGATTTAGGTGAATTTCCGCGTAGTTTTTCGGGATACAAACTGCTGGCCTCGTTTTCTGCGACGTTTAAAGTTTTTTCAAGCTTTCTAGGCGAAATAAGCGCAATTTCGGCGTGGTTTTTGTGAAAATGGGCGCAGGATTGTTGTGAATTTTGCGGGAATAACTGCGCTGCGGTGTAATATACGTTTTTTTATAGTTTTTATGCTCTTTCGAAGGAATCTTGCGTTTTCTGGCGTATTTCTATGCGTGCTAGGTGAATGTCGGCGTGCGTATTTCCCAATTTTATTCCCAAAATCGATTTCATTACTAGCGCAGACAAGTATTTTAAGGGTTAGTAAGCAATCTAATCAGAATCACAACTTATTGAGGCGGACTAGCCAAAAATTACAGCGGAAGTATAGAAAGTTTCAATTTTTAGCCAAAAAAGCGGGTAATCAAGCGAAAAGTTGAGAAATAAGTATTAGATAAATGGTTTTCGATGGTATCTACATTATCTGGCATGCAGACTATCGATTAAAACGTTGAAAACGGTGATTTTGACGTTTAGTCGGAGCGTTCGCCCTCGTCCTCGGAACCGGATGACGGAGGGTCGCGGCGGCGAACAAAGTGCGCGTACACTAGCGTCTCGTCGTTCTGGAAAATGGTCCGTTTCAAGGGGTTTGAGCTGGCTGGCAAATTGACTACAAACTACAAATTTCCATCATGACAACCCGGGTTCGATCCACGCCGGAAGTCAAAATATTTGCTTTTTGAAATCTGTGCCTGGATTTTGATGGGAATAGCTAAACTGGCATTCAGATTACAGCTTGCAAGCCAGCAACTCGTTACAAGACCCACCTCCAACTTGAGGAACTGGCAGTTGGTGCGCCGGTAGCCGGGCAGTTCAGAGTCCCACAGCGCTTGCTGGCTGTCACGCGCACCACGGGAATGGTCGTTGGCGAATACGGTCATCAACAGCTTTGCCGGGCTGAAAAAGAGGGTCGTTTTCCTAAAGAATCTCTGCTAGCCTGCCCCCTTCTTTCCATTTCCCCAAACAATCTCTGCTATCCAACTCACCGGAATCCATCGAGCACCTTCCTTGTCTGCTTGTAGAGGCACATCTCGTCCTGATTCGTCTCAAACGACGCGTAGCTGAACGCCTTTTCCGGCGTCACGTGGATCGTCACGTACTGGTCCTGAAAAGCAGTGAGGATTACGGTATTTCGGATTTTTAGTGCAATTGGGTTCTCTCTCTAAGAACCCACGGAATTTGGGATGAGCCCATTCATGGAGTATCCACAAGGCGAGAAGAGCTCCTCGTGGATTAGGGTGCCAGGTGGGCACATTCCGACGATACCCGCTTTTTCCGTGCATTCACGCCCATCGGCGCACATCTGCAAGGAGGGCAGGCTAGCAGAGGTTGTTTGAGGAAATGGAAAGAAGGGGGCAGGCTAGCAGAGATTGGAGGATGAAATGGAAAGGGGCAGGCTAGCAGAGATTCCTTAGCAAACTTAGGTGCGCGGATCGTCTAACTGACTAGCAGAGAACATTTTGGAATTCGACGGCACGCAAAAATTCTGCAGGCCGGGCTAGCAGCGACCATTTGCCATGAATTCCCGTACCTTTTGCGTGAACACCTCCAAAACGTCGTCCGGCATGTCGGACATCAGGATCTCGAGCGTATGATCGAGTGTCTTGGCAGCCGGGGCTCGATTCAGATGGTAGAGATACCAGCGGTCCAGCTTCAGCGATCCCATACAGTACGCCGCGCCCTCTGAAATGGCGAAAATCGATTACGCGATGGAAATCGGGGGGATTTTACGCTTTTTGGCTGCCTAATCCCTCTTTCTGGCACCCACTCTCTCGCCCAGTAAGGTCAGAATTCATGTCCATCATGCTCCCCTTGAAAAGCTCACCCTCAAAGTGGTCATCCAGATAGTCGACCTCACGATCGAACGATCGATGGAGGAGGGGCTGGAGGTCTGGGCGGGAGAAGTTCTTTCGCGAGTAGTAGACGGCGGACACCTGGAAATTGTATTCTATAGTTTGGAGTCTGTAGTCTGGCTGCCAGACGGTTAGAAATGTATGTTTGTATTCGACTTCGATGTTGTTTCAGGAAAAATTGTCCTTTTGAGCGCGTAGAGCGCTTTGCGTAGTCTGTAGCCTAGATCGCCCGGCAGTAGATTTTGTAGTCTGTAGTCCGGCCGCCAGACCGTTAGAAATTGGAGCTTGCAGTCCATTTCCCAAACGCGCCAAAAAATCGGGTTTTAGTGCCGTTTCGGGTGGTTTTTCGCAGTTTGTAGCCCAGATCATCAGGTCTAAGAATGTGTAGTCTGTAGTCTGGCCGCCAGTATTGAGAAATGCGTAGTTTGTAATCCATTAGCTGCCTAGCTGCGCTGCAAATAAACAAATTCGAGACTCGCGTCACCCTTTCCTATCCAGTTACGCCATGGAATTCCGCGAATACCGTAACCCGGTGCGTACCTCGCGTAGCCCCGCGTACTCTTCGGCGAGCTGAAGGATTTTCGGGAGAGCGGCGAGCAGGCGGGTGGAGCCGCAGGTCTTGATGATCAGCCGATAATCCGAGATGAAGAGGGAAGACTCGGAGAGTACGTAGCTGTCCACCTGGAAATTGACGTTTTTTGACTTTCCGGCCCCTTTAAAAAGGAACTATGGCTTGCAAAACGCTTTGGGTTACGGTAATTGCCTAGCAGTTAAGCGACTGGCAAGTCAAAAACATTTTTTCGGTTTGGCGGGCTACGGTGGCGGTGGCTAAATGAACTTTTTGACTTCCCGATCCCTTTAAAAAGGAACTATGGCTTGCAAAACGCTGCGGGTGACGGTAACTGGCTGCCAGAATAGCGATTCCAACCTCAAAAAATGTATTTTTTCGATTTTGAGGATCGCGAGGGTTACGGTAGCTGGGCCACTTTCTATGATTCGACTTCCCGGCCCCTTTACAAGTTATGAAAAAGTTCAAAAAGCTATGGATTACGCAAACTGTATGCCAGAATGGTCATTGCAAAATTTAAAAAAATGTATCCGAACGATTTCGCGGATTCCGAGGGTTACGGTAGCTGGGTCACCTTTTAGGCTTTGACGTTTTTATAGCCAAATTTTATACCTGATCCCCGCGTAGGGCGTGCAGAATTCGACACTGGGCCACATCCAGCATCTCGTCGATTTGTGGGCGAGGGATAGAGCGGAGAGAGGAGAGAGACGACAGACAGTCCGACGGCTTCTCCCACCAAATCTCCAGCAATTTCTCAGCGCCCTCGAAGAAATATTCCTCGACTGGCACCATCGCCTCCGTCATCTCGTGGTCGGTGCTCATTTCCTGGAATTTTTGGAGCTTGTAGTCTGGCGGGCAAAAATTAGTTTGTAGTCTGTAGCCCATGAATCCTCATTTTGTATTTTGTAGCTAATTTCCTAATTTCATCGAATGTAAAAATTTTTGTATTCTGTCTCCTGGCGTGAAGAAAATTTAGCATTTGGAGTTTTAAGGCTGGCGGGCAAAAAATGGAGTTTGTGGTCGATCACCAAAAATCTGGGCTTTGTAGTTTGTAGCTAATTTCCGAATTTTATCTCATTTCGAATTTTTTGTAGTCCGTATCATGCAAAAGTTTAGAATTGTAAGTTTGTAGCCCGGCCGGCAAAATGTGGTTTGTCGCCCAAAATTGTTACTTTTTGTATTTTGTAGCCTACGTATCGGCGGCATAAACTTTGTAGTCTGTAGTCTAGCGGGCAAGAGCTGTTAATTTGTAGTCTGTAGTCCAATTGGCATGAGCTTAGGTTTTTGTAGTTTACGTTCTGGCTGACAACCGTTTGTAGCTTGTAGTCTATCGCGTAGTTCTAGGCTTTGTGGTCTGTAGCCCAATCCACTGCGCGGTCCCTTTAAAATCGAAAAAATTACCCTATTCGTGGTTTTTGTAGCCGTAGAGACGATCCTCCCTAGCGGCACCGAAAAACTGGCGATTTTCCGGAGTTTTTCTGCTAAAAAAATCGATTTTTGAGCGGTTACGGTAGCGCCACAGTACCTGACGCTCCTTTCGACGGTCCGCCGCGTCAAAAGGTGTAGTTTGTAGCCCGGGGGCTTGGTTGAGTAGTTTTGTAGATGGCCCGGACCTAAAAAGACGAGATAAAACTGTGGACTACAGGCTACATATTAAGTTAGGGTACTGTAGGTGACAAAGTACGTTAGAATATAAATTACGCTAGAGTACAGTAGGCTACAAAGTACGCTAGACTACAATTACGCTTGAGTACGGCAGGCTACAAAGTACGCCAGGCTATAAATTACACGAGACTACGGTGGGCTACAAAGTACGCTAGACGACAAATCGCGCAGAGTAGGGTAGACTACAAAGTACGCGAGACTACAAGTTACGCGAGACTGCGGTGAGCTACGAAGTACGCCAGGCTACAAATTACGCTAGAGCACGGTAGGCTACAAAGTACGCTAGACTACAAATTACGCCAGAGTAGGTTACATTTCGCACTACAGGCCAAATACGGTAGTCTATGGAAGACAACGAGCTACGATCGGCTACAGATTACGCCGTAATCATTACGGTAAGATACAGTAGACTACAAATTGTATACCGTAGACTACAGACTACACTGGGCTACAAACAACAATTTTTTTGGCACTTACCCGCTAGGGAGGTCGTAGGCAGAAGACGATGATGGGACGCTGGACGTCAGGTCCCATACAAGCCTGCAAAACCAATTTATATAAAATTTTGTGTTTTTGACATCTTAAAGGGATGGTGACACCTAAATTTTTTCCAGAAATCGACAGCAGGTGCCCTGCTTTTAGAGTGGGAGCTCTTAACTGACAACCGGTGAATCGAAATGCGCGATCAACAAAAGTGTACACCCTACAGTAACCTAAAAATCTACTCTAAAGGGGCAGTGACACCTCAAATTTTGAGAATTTCGATCTGCTAAGCTCTCAGTAACTCGCAATATATACCCATTTTTTAGGTAGCCAAACTGACAGACACAGAATCGATTGCACCCAAAAAAATTCCGCAAATGGCCCCTGCCAGCTGACCTGTGCGGCTATGGGTGTTTGTCAGCGAAGATGCTCCTTGTAGTCGTCGCTGTCCTTATTCTCCGGCTCGTAGGCCACAGACAACGGCGACCGGGCCCCTCCCGCGTACGAACGGCCTTCTTGGACTGAAAAAAATTGGGTTTAAAGGAGCGCGGAAGGCAAAATAAGCTGTGGATTCGTTTTCCGCACGGGACTTTTTCCGGAAGCTAAAAATTCTGCTTACTAAACTAAATTTTGCGCTAAGTGCCACCCAGTAAGCCGCAAAACGCAAATATACGCAAATTCAAAATCCCTTTAAAGGATCGGTGAAGTCAAAATCTTCCCGATTTGGTTCCCCAATGTTCACTGCTAGCCTACAGACTACAAAATTCGATCGCCAATGGTCTAGGGGAATGTTGTAGTCTATAGTTTGTTGGCACTCACGTCGGATTGTGGCTTGTTGCGTGGCAGACACGCAGACACACACACTCTCACAGGCACCACAATACACCAGCTGTGTGTGTACGGTACCGGAGATGGATGTCGCGTGGGGCGGAGGGTTTCCTGTAAATAATATATATTTTAAAAAATGGAATCGATTATCTGGGTGCCAGCTAACAATTTAAACAAAACAAAGTAATAAAACCACAGCTAAAAAAGAGCAAAAACACAAACTTTGAGCAAAAAGCAAAAAGTTTGTCGCGGCCAGGGGTCGAACTCGGGACCTCTGGCTGACAGTTTTGAGGGTGTAGTCTGTATACTGACTGCCAGATTAGCGCTTCCAACCAAAAATAAGAGCAAATTCCAAAAAGCAAAAAGTTTGCCGCGGCCGGGGGTCGAACCCGCGATCTTAATCTTGTCATTTTAAGCCGTTTCATAAGCTGTTTTTCTGTACATATTTAACATTTAGGGAATACTCGCCACTAAAAGCCACTTAAAATAGAGTTTGAGCAAAAAGCAAAAAGTTTGTCGCCGGCGGGGGTCGAACCCTCGAGTGTCAACTTGAACCGTAAAAATGGTATAACTCGGATTTTTTTGCGTTAATTGGTTGACTGTCTGGCAGCCGGCAAAAAACCTAACAGCGATCATTTAGGAAAACAAAAAATGAAATTCTAGCCTGTAAGTTGAGGCCGAAAATCGCGAAATACCACGGTTGGAAAGACGCGAAAAATCGCGGCAGGACCCATTTTTTCGCTTTAATCGATTAACTGTGTTACAGAAAAACAAAATACGTAGTAAAACACATTTAAAAAAACCAAAATAATAATACAATTAAATTTAGGCCAAAAATTCCCGGATACGGTGGGAGGGGCAGGTTTTAGGGGAAAATCGCTGCGGGACCAATCAATTTTATTTGTTTCAATCTTTTAAATGGCTGACAGAAAGCAAAAACCGTCGCAGAAATACTTTAGGAAACAAAGTTTAGGCCAAAAAATCGCAGATACGGTGGGTGGGTGGGCAGATTTCAGGGGGAAGCCTCGGTGGGGGCCAAAGGGGAGCTTCGCCTTATCAAGCCACACCCCTTTATACCCCCGTTAATAGATAAGGGCGAACAAAGTGGCCGGGGGGAAAAGGGGGCGGGGCCAGGGTTGGAGTGTGGCGGAATATTGGGAACGGCGCTGGGGCGGCGGGTTTGGCACGTCGCGCCTACACAGCACCCTTTCCGCGTAAGTTGTTGTAGATTGGATAAACTGTCATCCAGTACGCTGGTTGGGCAAATAATATTGGGGGTAGGGCCGGGGGAATTGGATTGATAAGCTGACCCAAGCTTTTTGGGGTCCGGGGTGGTCTGTGGTGTTTGGAGGGCAGGCGAGCAGAGTCATTTGTGGAAATGGGTCCTAGTTTGCCAGTTTGGCTTTCTGACTTACAAGCTATCCAAGGCAACCTAGCAGAGACAATTTAAGACCCATTTTTCACAAAAAAATGCGAATTTCGAGTTTCTTAGTAAAAGTAGGAAAACGTATGGTTTTTCGAGGCAATCTAGGAGAGACCGTTGGCGGAATCGATTCACTGGATGCCAGTTCGGCTTCTGACAAGCAAGCTACCCAGGGCAAGCTAGCAGACACCATTTGGGAGGCTAATTTTCGACCAAAATGACCGAAAACCTTATGGGGCCAGCTAGCGGAGACCATTTGCGGAAATGGGCTCCATTTTCGATTTTTTTTTCTGCCGCCGACTGACCCAGGGCAAACTAGCGAAGACCATTTGGGCCTCAAATTTTGTGACTGAATGCTCTCCAGATTGTGTTACATGGATTCCACGAAATACTATAGACTCTCCAGACTGCCCCCTCCCACTCCCTATTTCTTATCAATTTTCACCCCAGATGGCCTCTCCATTGGCTGTCTTTTTGAATGAAGTGGCAACACACAGAAAGGGAAGGCGACTGTTTCGTCATTGGACTCTGATTTCGACGAAATCGTATAATCGGTCAAGACCAAGCGGAAATAAGCGAAAACTAAGCCTAAGCCGATCCTAAGCCAATCCTAAGCCAAGCCTAAGCCAAGCCTAAGCCAAGCCTAAGCCAAGCCTAAGCCAAGCCTAAGCCAAGCCTAAGCCAAGCCTAAGCCAAGCCTAAGCCAAGCCTAAGCCAAGCCTAAGCCAAGCCTAAGCCAAGCCTAAGCCAAGCCTAAGCCAAGCCTAAGCCAAGCCTAAGCCAAGCCCTAAGCCAAGCCTAAGCCAAGCCCGGCTAAGCCTAAGCCAAGCCTAAGCCAAGCCTAAGCCAAGCCTAAGCCAAGCCTAAGCCAAGCCTAAGCCAAGCCTAAGCCAAGCCTAAGCCAAGCCTAAGCCAAGCCTAAGCCAAGCCCAAGCCAAGCCTAAGCCCAAAGCCAGGCCCTAAGCCAAGGCCTAAGCCAAGCCCTAAGCCAAGCCCTAAGCCAGGCCTAAGTAAGCCTAAGCCAGGCCTAAGGCCAAGCCCTAAGCCAGGCCTAAATAAGCCTAAGCCAGGCCCTAAGCCAAGCCTATAGCAGGCCTAGTAGCCCTGGGCCAAGCCTAAGCCGGCCCTAGGCCAGGCCTAAGCCAAGCCTAAGCCAAGCCCTAAGCCAAGCCTAGGCCAAGCCTAAGCCAAGCCCTAAGTAAGCCCTAAGCCAGGCCCTGAGCCAAGCCTAAGTAAGGCCTAAGTAAGCCTAAGCCAAGCCTGAACGGGCCTAAGGCCAGGCCTAGGCCAGGCCTGAAGCCAATGGCCTAAGCCAAGCCCTAGGCCAGGCCCTAAAGCCGGGCCTAAGTAGGCCTAAGCCAGGCCTAGGCCGGCCTAAGCCAAGCCTAGGCCAAGCCCTAAGCCAGGCCTAAGCCAGGCCTAAGGCCAAGCCCTAAGCCAAGCCTAAGCCAAGCCTAAGCCAAGCCCAGGCCCTAGGCCAAGCCTAAGCCAAGCCTAAGCCAGGCCCTAAGCCAGGCCCTGGGCCCGGCCTGGCCAAGCCTAAGGCCTAAGCCAAGCCTAAGCCAAGCCTAAGGCCAAGCCTAGTGAGGCCCTAAAGCCAGGCCTAAGCCAGGCCTATAGGCCTAATGAGCCCTGGAAGCCTAAGGCCAAGCCTAAGCCAGGCCTAAGGCCAAGCCCTAAGCCAGGCCTGGGCTAGGCCCTAAGGCCAGGCCTAAGCCAAGCCTAGGCCTGGCCAAGCCCTAAGCCAAGCCTAAGCCAAGCCCTAAGCCAAGCCCTAAGCCAAGCCTAAGCCAAGCCTAAGCCAAGCCTAAGCCAAGCCTAAGCCAAGCCTAAGCCAAGCCTAAGCCAAGCCTAAGCCAAGCCTAAGCCAAGCCTAAGCCAAGCCTAAGCCAAGCCTAAGCCAAGCCTAAGCCAAGCCTAAGCCAAGCCTAAGCCAAGCCTAAGCCAAGCCTAAGCCAAGCCTAAGCCAAGCCTAAGCCAAGCCTAAGCCGGAGCGAAGCTATTCAGACAAAAGCTCGCCTTGCGCAAAATCCGGAGCTCCCGGATTCGAGATCCTCAACAGTCTCTGCTAGTTCGCCCCCAGGCTTGGATCTCCGTCGCGCGAAAAGCTAAACTGGCCGACAAAACACCAGAAAACGGAAGGGGCCCCGGTGAAATGCGTGCAAAGATCGCGCGATCAGCCGGCCAGATGCCAATCATCAACCCGAGCCTCGGGTGTCAATAGAAAAGTAGCGTAGTCTCTGGCGGGTTGAGTGCCGAATAAACAATCAGAGTGTGGCTACTGTAGGTCAGATGGGCCGGGGGTCAACCTTGAAAGACCAACGCGTGATTTTCGAGGCCAAAAATAGCGCAGAGAAAAAAATGGGGGGTTGGCAAAGCCTTAGCCTCAAAAAAGAGTTGAACCTCGAAAAATAACTGTAGAATCTAATTGAAAATAAAATTTTCAAGTTTGTTGGCATGCAGTTTGAGGGAATATCGGGTTAACAAAGGGCCAAAAAGGGGCGTGGCTTCCGGCGGGGCCCTAACCCCGTCCACAGAGCTGTTTTTTGGCCATTTTGGGATGGGGCGGGGGGGGAGTGAGACAGAGCGAGACAGAGAGAGAGAGGGGGAGAGTAAGATTGAGACAGAGAGTGAGAGAGGAGAGAGTGAGAGAGAGAGAGAGAGAGAGAAGCCGTTCCCATGTTCTCCCCCGGGACGGGTGGAGCCCTAGACGCACTTTTCGGGGCTGGAAATAGGGCGGGGGGAGAGAGGATTCGACAGTTTGAGCACGAGCGTGTCTCTCTTTCTCTCTCTGGCTCTCTCCCTCGCTCTCTCTCTCTCTTCCTCCCGCTCTCTCTCCTTCTCTCTCTATCTCTCCCACTCTCTATGTCTCTCCCTCTCTCTCCCTCTCACTCTCTCTATCTCACTCACTCTCTCTCCCTCCCTCTCTCGCTCTCTCGCTATTTACTAGTCGATTGTTATCGCATGGCCCTCGGAGCAAGTCGGAAATGACGGGTTTGGGGTAAGAGAGAGAGAGAGAGAGAGAGAGAGAGAGAGAGAGAGAAAGAGAAAGAGAGAGAGAGAAGCAAATCCAGCCTCCCCCAAAAAACCAGCCCACCAAAATAAAAGGACACCCCGGATTTATGGGCCCCCGACGATCAGCCTCAAACGGCCTCCAAAAGAATCGCTGCTAGCTGGCCCCCGGCCGGCCGGCTGGGTGCCAGGCTACAAACTACAGAATTTTAAAGGCGGACCTCTAGAATACAGGCTCCAGAACACGGACTTGGGTACAAACTACAACTCCGAGAACCTTGACTCCGAAAGACTACAAATTTTGTTGTTTGTTTTGCTGAATGGGGTACAGACTACAAACTACTAGGTATCGCTACATCGACGCCTCGAAATACTAGGTCTCGACAACTACGCGATGCACCAAATGACGCCCGGATTGCTGACATTTGCTAAAAATGTTTATTTTTCAGGTGTTATTTGGCGCCGCATGAACTGTCGAGACCTAGTGGAGGGAAAGGGTCGATGTCTTTAAGGAAATTTGCATCGTTGCCGCGACCTTTAAAGGTGAGCGAGAGAGAGAGCGAGAGAGAGAGAGCGAGTGAGAGAGAGCGAGAGAGAGAGCGAGAGAGAGAGCGAGAGAAAGAGAGAGAGCGAGAGAGAGAGCGAGAGAGAGCGAGAGAGAGAGCGAGAGAGAGAGAGAGTGGGCGAGAAAATGAGCGAGAGAGAGAGAGAGAGAGAGGGAGAGAGAGAGAGCCAGTTAGCCGGCTTTCCTAAAGGATTTGCGCTAGGGCCCCGAATTTCACGTCGTAAGCGAATCGGAAGGAGGCCAGAAAACGGCGTAAACGGCGTTTTCCGCATAGTTCTCTGCCCGCCAGCCGGTCAGTTGGCCGACAGCTGATCCGCGGTGACCAAAAAAATGCCAAAAAATGCCATGCCGACCGCCCTTTCTCAAAAGCCACTTTCCGATGGCCAGCGGGCCCATTAAAATATGCTTTATCAAATGCAAAAAAATACAAAAATCGGCGATAATTTGAGATTCGTTTCAGATCGAGAAAAAATCGGGATAATTCGGAAAATTCAGGATTTTCATTGAGTAACGGCAAAGGGTGGCGCGAAGGTTGAGGGAATTCGGGTTGAGCGAGAGAAAATTCGCAATTTTGAGCGGGTTACGGTAAAACGGCGATGCGGCGGATGCGCAGATTGGCGCGTGCCGGCCACGGACCCTGAAAATGGCGGTGTTTTACTCTCTCTCTCTCTCGCTCTCTCGCTCTCTCTCTCTCTCTCTCTCTCTCTCTCTCTCTCTCTCTCTCTCTCTCTCTTTCTCTCTCTCTCTCTCTCTCTCTCTTTTCTCTCTACCTCACTCTTTCTCTCTACCTCTCTCTCTCTCTCTCTCTCTCTCTCTCTCTCTCTCTCTCTCTCTCTCTCTCTCTGTCTCTCTATCTCTCGCCATTGCAGACAGAGGTTCTAAAAAGCGCGGAAGCCGGTCTAAAGGCGCTGTGACAACTGGAAAAACTGCCGTACCCGTCTGTGTCTCATCTGTCGTCGGATTTCTCTTCGGAGCGGAATCTTCTTTCCGGACACACAGTAGGAGCCGATGAGGTTGCGACGCTGCCGGACACCACCAAGGAATGTCACCTGGCAAACAGAGAGAGATCATTGGGGAATGGGTCGCTTGGACGGCAGTTTGGCAAGATTTCATGTCGTAATGATTTAGAAAATACCGGACACAAAGGCAAGCCAGCCGAGATCATTGGGGAATGGGTCGAATGGCAGACAGTTTGGTAGGATTTGATGTCGTAATCGTTTAGAAACTACGGACGACAAGGCAGGCCAGCCGAGGTCATTGGGGAAAGACTTGATTGGCAGCCAGTTTAGGGGGAATTTCATGTCGTAATCGAATAAGAATGAAAAATACGACTAGACAAGCTAGCAAAGACCATTTTCCAGTCACAATTCCTAAGAGCTTTCTGCTAGCTTACCTGTCTCCCAGTTGGCGCGAATTTCATGTCGTAACCGGATACCCACTCTAAAACGCACCTGATACCTCCCCCCTCCAATCGGCCTCGCATTCGCTGCCTCACAGCCCAATTCGGCGCATTTCTCGGCAGCTGTGGCCATCGTTTCGTCCCCCGATGCACCCAGCACCTCACCGTCACACATCTGGAACGGAGGGCGGGCTAGCAGAGGTTATTTGGGAGCCAGAAAAGCAAAAAATTGCAATGGCAAGCTAGCAGAGCCAATTGCGGCCAGCCGTACCTGGTTGTAATACGTTAAATACGGCGTGAATTGGGGGCGAGTCGTCATTTCGAGGTCTTCTTCGGAGTCCTCGTCTTGTGGATAGTCCTTGTCTGCAATGACGAGAGATAGAGATAGCGAGAGAGAGAGAGAGAGAGAGAACGATACAGACGGAACAGCGAAAAGCCCGCGATTTCCGGGTCCATAATTCGTGGCCAATTGGTACATACTCGCGTCTCTCACCCACATGACCCTGGTTCGAATCCTGGCCGCGCCAAACTTTTTGCTTTTGGCTTAGAAGCTCGGAAATGAAGCCACAGATCGAGAGAAAGAACGAGAGAGAGAGAGAGAGAGAGAGAGAGAGAGAGAGAGAGAGAGATATGGAGAACGAGAGAAAGATAGTGAGAGAGTGAGAGTCAGAGAGAGCGAGAGAGAGCGGGAAAAAGAGAAGCGAGAGAGAAAGCGAGAGTGAGAGAGAGAGAGATGGAGAACGAGAGAAAGATAGTGAGAGAGTGAGAGTCAGAGAGAGCGAGAGAGAGCGGGAAAAAAGAAGCGAGAGAGAAAGCGAGAGTGAGAGGGAGAGAGAGAGATCGAGAGAGCGAGAGAGATAGAGAGAGCTAGAGGGAGAGAGCGAGAGAGAGAAAGAGAGCGAAGGATAAGCGTACCTGGTTGATGCGTCCTCACCGCAAATGCCCCGTAGCTTTCGCTCGCGTTCTTCGGCGAGAAAACGATCTGAAAGCCGCGAATTTTGCCGTGAATTCAAAAAGCAAAAAGTTTTCCGGGGCGGGGATCGAACCCAGGGCCCTACTGTATGCCAGATTGTCCATTTGTCGTACCGGTTTCAGCGTTGCCGACTCTGTCTTCTCAGCCCTCTCCTCACTCTCGGCCATCTGCGCGCTGCCCGGGACCTAAGTGGCCAGATAGCAGAGATTCTTTGCCGGGAATCGTACCTGTACTTGGTGGTCATGTTCGGCTTCTTCTTCGTCTTCTGCCTCAGCGTCGGCCTCCTTCTCCTTGTCGGTGGCCGTCTCCGGGGCGTCGAAGAACTGGAAAGTGGATTTTCGCAGAATTTTAAAATTATGTATAACACTCCGCTACAGTACCTATACGCGTCAATAGGAATCGATCGGAAAATGGAAAAATTGGCGAGGCCGAATTTTTGCCGACTTTGCCGCCCTTAAAAATGGGACTCCTGTGGGTTACGGTAGCTGAAACTTCCGTTTCTGATAGATCTTGAGCTTCTCTTTATAATAGTACATGACACTCCGCTACCGTACCCCCAGACGTCAATAGCAGTCGACCGGAAAATCGCCGATCTTCCAAATTTCCCTCCTATTCTCACCTGGGATACGGTATTGTCGTCGGCATTTTGGCTGGTGTTGGGCAGCTTTTCGTGTTTCGACAGTGGATCTGGAATTAGAAAAATCATCAAAATAACAAACCGAAATTTTCGAATTTTGGGGTCGCGGGTTCGAGCCCCGGCCGCGGCAGATTTTTTGCTTTTTGGTCGAAAGTCGTTCCAGACGCTTGGCTGCATGCCAGATAGTGTGAAAAAACCTTAAAAACCCGACTACAAACTCCAATAACACACCGGACGCTGCCGCGCTCGACTGGTGGCTGATCAGGTACTCGCCAGTCTCCAGCTCGGTTACGGTAGGTTCTGGGGGTACGGTAGGGAGGTTAATGGGTAAACTGGCAGACAATATACCTATTCCATGTCTTGATGAGAGTACGGTAGTCGGCTTCTCCAACTCGCGCCCCTTTTGGTTGATGGCGTCGAGGCGTGGGTGGACGGGGAGCCGTTGCGAGACGAGAAGCGCCTTTCTCACGCCCTCATCGTTCAATCTGGATGACAAGGGGATAGTTGGGCAAAGGGTAGCTGCTAGTATGCCACGATTCCGCAAAGAAACCCTGCAGGTTGACCCACTCGAGGCTGTTCAGTTCGCGTTGCAGCTCGGCGTCGAGGACCTGATAGGAGGAGGCGCCGGATTGGGACGGGGATGCTGTAAATTGATTTACTGGCAGGCAGACTACAGACTGTAGACTACAGGCTACAGACTACAAACCACTACAGACACGTTAACACCTGTAGCCAGTGAGAAAACTACATTTTGGAGTCTGTAGTCTACACGTTTGGCCGGTTCAGACCACGAATCATATAACTGACAGTCAGGCTACAGACTGCAAACTACAAACTGCACATTCCACCGGGTTTTTAGTTTGTGGTCTCAAAAATCCGGCCGTCGGGGTCAGTCGGTAAAAACGCGAACTTTGTAGTCTGTGGCCGGCCTTCCTTGGTGGCCAACATACTGAATGACAATAAGATGGCAGGCAGGCTACAGACTACAAATCATAGACTACAGTTTCTACACGGTTTGTAGTTTGTAGCCTGGAAAATGCCTGGATAGTTTTCTGTAGTTTGTAGTCTGTAGGTTGCCGATTTCGCCGCTAGCATTGTCAATGGCTAAACTGGCAGCCAGACACAGACTACGAGATCCGGTTCTGTATTTTGCAGTCAAATCAACCTTTACCATCGTTACTAGCCGCCACAAGAACGCTCGGATTTTCGGATTTCCCTCCAATTTCAGCAGAAGTGGGCGGGGCCGGCGGGAGGGCACCTGAAAAAGGGGCGTGGCTTGAAAAGGGGGCGAGCCCTACCGTATGGCATGAAATACGAGGCTGGCAGAGAACCATTGCCAACACGAAGTCGGCTCTCCCCTTTCGACGGACGATCACTGGCCGGGGGATAGGCTGGAAGAGATGAGCATGAGTTAGTGAGGGAGCGAGAGTGAGAGAGAGAGATAGAGAGAGAGAGAAATACAGAAAAGAGAGAAAAACAACACAAAAAACCCTGATTTTCCGCGTCGACCTCGTGGCCAATTGGTACGTGCCCGCGCTCATCACCCACACGACCCGGGTTCGAAACCCGGCCGCGCCAAACTTTTTGCTTTTTGCGGCGAAGCCCGGAAATGGGGTCATCAGAAGGCAGGCTAGCAGAGAGTGCGGTGGAGAGCGTAAAAATTGCGCAAGTTTCGCCGGGACCCCTTTTGGACCGGGGCAATCTAGCAGAGACAATTCGAGGCCGATTGAAGGGAGCTAGGGCATATAAGGTGTTGGAAATTGTGAACTGGCTGGCAGTAAGCCAAAATCGACTGCTAGAACTTTTTAAAGGGGCAGTGAAGTCAGAGATTCCTGAGCTAGCATGGATGTCGTAATCGATTGATCTTTCAAGGGTTGTTTTGCCAAATCGACTGGAATTTCTCATGATAGAGCGAGAGAGAGAGAGACAAAGAGATTGAGAGAGCGAGAGTGAGAGAGTCACCGAGACAGAGAGAGGGGGAGAGAGAATGAGAGAGAGCGAGAGACTGAAAGAGACTCAGAGAAGCAGAGAAAACTTCTCACCCCGATAGGCTGTAGTTTGTATGTGAATTTTGGCGGATGAGGACGGTGATTGATTCTGATGGTCATGCTGGCTGAATACTGGCTGTGATGGTCGATTGATGCCCGTCACCGAATAGGTCCCTCCGTACGGCTCCGTGTTGACGCTCCACGTTCGCTAAAAAATGCGATTTTTGCGGTTACAGTAGCCGGGTAGGCTAGCAGAGTTTGTTTGAGGAAATGGGGGGCAGGCTAGCAGAGATTCTTTAGGAAATGGGGGGCAGGCTAGCAGAGATTCTTTAGGAAATGGGGGGCAGGCTGGCAGAGATTCTTTGCGGAAATGCGCATACCTGAGGAGAAGCATCAGAGGAGAAGGAGAGTGCGGGCGGAGGGGGAGGTCGCTGCGGCTCGGCGGCAGTCGGCGATAGATAGAGCGGAGACGGGGGAGGGGGCAGGGGCGGATAGGATATCTGAAAATCGGCAAGGTGAGCAGATTGTACAGGGTAAGACAATCTTGACGCGATTTTCGTAAAACGAAACGTTTCTGCAGGTGAAAAAACGCCCTCTTCATTTTTGTTAAACCTTTCGAGATCGAAATCCGTCAAAACCCTAGCGAAATCGCCAAAATCAACCTTAATTTCGATATAACTTTTTTGTTTTACAAGATTTTGCGTAGAAAATTCGGCTGCACACGGCTTTTATGGGTCCGCATCACTGGTAAAAATTTGGTGTGGATTCGATAGAAGACGGCTAAATGCCGAGGAGGCGGGCCAGGGGGGGCGGGTCGGGTCGGGACACCTTGTAGAGCCCAAATTAGCCCAGATTCTAGATTTGTTTTATATATCTCATTTCCGATGGCTAAACTGTCAGCCAGGCTACAAACTTCAGACTACAAACATACTACAAAATCTACCTGATAGGTGTTGGGCGGTGGGGCGACGGCGCCACATCCGGAAGGCGCCGGCATCATCGAGGCGCCACAGCCGCCGCCACCTCCGAAAAGGCCGCCACCTGGAAGTACGTGTTCAAAACCGCGCTACAGACTGTAAACTACAAACTACAAACTACAAACGTCAAATTACCGGATGGGATGCAGGCGAACGTGGCCGGGATGAGGGCCAGCAAGTGGTGGAACTGCATTGGAGGGTCTGGAACGAGAGAGTACGAGAGAGAGAGATAGCCAGTGAAAGAGAAAATCCCTGAAAAATCACAATTTTCAGCGAAGTCCCTCATGGCCAAGTGGTAAGTGTTCGCGCCTACCACCCACACGACCCGGGTTCGAACCCCGGCCCCGCCAAACTTTTTGCTTTTTGCGGAAAACCTCGGAAACGGATGGATTTGGCTCGACGAACGATCGAATAGAAGACAGGATAGCAGGGGGCATTTTAAGGACCATTGAAGGCAAGGATCGAGGCGCGGGTGCAACTAGCCGAGATCATTTGCCCGGAAACCGGCCAGCTATCGTATTTTAGAGCAGCAAAAAGTCTAAGCTGGCTGGCAGTTAGCCAAAATCCGGCCGCAGTATCCTTTTAAAGGACCATTGAAGCTGGGAACAGTGGGCCTCCCTACTAGTAAATTTTTGAGCTAGAAAAGGGGAACTTGAGAGCATACGGTATTTGAAAAGCGTCGTAACCTGGCAACTGGCTGCCAGTTTGTGGATATTCGAGTGGGAATCGTGGCCCCGGGGGGATGTGGCTGTCGTAAATGGCTGGAAGGAAAGGGGGGGGTGGAAGTGGAAAAGGGGGGCATCAAATGGTATGAGATAGCTTGAGGGGGGGACGTCACGCTTCAATGGGCACCAAGCAGGACAGGAAGGAGATGGAATGGGACAGGATAGGGCAACATCACACAACTGGTTACGATTGGGGGGGCAGGCTAGCAGAGATTGTTTGAGGAAATGGAAAGAAGGAAGGCTAGCAGAGATTGAAAGCGCTAATCTGGCTGCCAGATAACTCAAATCGAGCTACAGTACCCCATTAAAGGGCCGTTCAAGTCAGACCGGCCGACCAGACCGAAGACAACCTAGCAGAGATCCTTTGAGACGAACGAAGGCTCTTTATCGATCCTCAGTTACTTCAAGCCAGCGACTGGCTGCCAGAAAACCACCTTCCGGTTACAGTACCCCACTAAAGGACCATTGAAGCCAAATCGGGGGCAGGCTAGCAGCGGCCCCTGGAGACCGAAGCAAACCATTTAAGGGCGTCCAGAGTATCTGAATCTCTCAACTGGCAGGCAGTTAGTCACCGTTAGCTTACAGTACCCCACTAAAGGACCATTGAAGGCAAATGGTCGGCCAGATCGACACCCAGCTAAAAACTCGAATGGAGTCGTCGGCTGTAGTTTGTAGCCGACGCGGGGAAACGAGTTCGTATCGCCTTGAGGGTGTGCCATCTCTTGGCCCAACACCCATCCATCCAAATCCCATCTACACGTGCTCAAAATGCGTGTGTGACAAAAAATGGGCAGCCGGACGGGGGAGACTGGTTTCTTAGAGCCGTATTTGTCGACCATGACTTTTCTGGGTTGGGACATGGAGGGGATCGAACTGTTGCTCTCTCTCTCTCCTTCTCTCTCTCCTTCTCTCTCTCTCTCTCTCTCTCTCTCTCTCTCTCTCTCTCTCTCGCTCTCTCTCTTTCTCTTAGCTCTCTCTTTTTCTCTCTCTGTCTCTTTTTCTCTCTCTGTCTCTCGCTCTCTCTCCCTCTCTCTCTACCTCTGTCTCTCATTTCTCTCTCCGTGTCTCTCTCTCCCTCTCTGTCTCTCTCTCTCTCTCTTCTCCAGACATTTGTGTCCAAGGGTCTCTGCTAGCTTGCCGGTCTCCCTCCAGCAGAAATCTACCCATCCTTGTCACTTTATTCAAATCTGGTTGAAGACGTTAGTTTCGCGGCTGGCAGGCAGATTTTCGGAAAATCCGGATTTTCGGGAAGCTAGAGAGAGAGAGAGAGAGAGAGAGAGAGAGAGAGAGAGCGCAATGGCTCGGAAACCATTTGGCGTCGCCTCCCTCCTTGGGAAGGCAACTCGAATTCCAGAGCCGTGGTCCCCGTCCTGGTGTGGGGGGAGGAGGTAGAGAACTGGTTTCCTCGTTGCGCCTCTCAACGGCGGCCCTATCAGGGGTGGATGGAATGTTATAAGTCGGGGACTTCTACCGTAATCACGGAAATGCCGGAATTTGGAAAATACCCTCTTCCACGTAAAATTTCAATAAAAACAACATTGGGCTAGTTTTTCACCGTAACCCCGGAAAATCGATTACGTCATGAAATTCAGCCAGCCAAATTAGATGGCGTAACCGGATCGTTATCGCGGTCGATGGCGACCAGCAATTTGTGCCCCCCATTTTCGACCAAAACCGGACCAGCATTCGACTACGCGATGAAACGCCGGTGCGTCGCGCGGGCGCGTTGCACGTCGCGGCGCGTAGCCCTGGCAGCCATCCATCAGGGGCCCGGCATTAGATGGCGTAATCGATTGTGTATTAATGGCTTAATCTTGATTTTTAGTGGTTGTTTTCGACTATATTTTGTGTTAATCGACTGTATTTTGTGGTGCCGCAACCCGCAACGCGCACTCTGCCGCGCGCCTGCTTTCTCCGTTGCGTAATCGAATCTCAGCGCGCTGCTCCGCTCCAAAAAAAATGTGGGTCCATTTACCCCGCATCATCGATTCGGAAAGTAGGGGGTGATTTTTGCGCGTTGAATTTTGGGGCGTAATCTATGTAAGACGGCCTGGCATTTGACGAAAACAGTTGCAGAATTTTGACCGGAGTTTTTACTCCGTGGTGCGTACGTGGTAGTCTGTTCGACAGTCGGGGGGACGGCGCAGATGCGATGAGCCATCCCCCCACGGACTGTGAACACGGCACCTGAGGGTATATTGGTTGGGCGATAGAGTTTGTAGCCATTCTCTCAGAGGTCTGCCACATCTTTCATTCATCATGCCGATCTCGATTTGATATACTTGAACAAGGGAATAAAAATATATGGCTCTCTCCCTCTCTCTTGCTCTCCCTCTCTCTTGCTCTCCCTCTCTCTTGCTCTCTCTCTCTTGCTCTCTCTCTCTTCCTCTCTCTCCCTCTCTCTTGCTCTCCCTCTCTCTTGCTCTCTCTCTCTCCCTATCTCTTGCTCTCCCTCTCTCTCTTGCTCTTTCTCTCTCTCTCTCTCTCTCTCTCTCTCTCTCTCTCTCTCTCTCTCTCTCTCTCCCTCTCTCTTGCTCTCTCTTGCTCTCTCTCTCCCTATCTCTTGCTCTCCCTCTCTCTCTTGCTCTTTCTCTCTCTCTCTCTCTCTCTCTCTCTCTCTCTCTCTCTCTCTCTCTCTCTCTCTCTCTCTTTCTCTCTACATATGATATACCCTATCCTATAAGCGAGGGAAGCATGTTTGTTTTCTGCAATGAGGGTTTCTCAGCCGTCAGGCCGAATTGCCTGCTGATTTTTTGCATGGAGGCCGAGAAACGCATTTGTCAGTGATGCCTTTTTCGCGAAATTCCATCGTTTAACGCTATTACAACAAAAATAGTGAAAAATCCTTGGCATTTTCTCCCGATACCGACATTTCCCGATACCGACATTTTCTAAATTGTTTATAGCTATCCCTAAGCATACAAACGTTACAAAATTTAATTAAAAATTTTAATTTTAGGTCGAAAACATCAATTTTTTTTTCGACCCAAAAATGACAAAATGTTTTTGCTACTAAAATAGGCTTAAATTTTGCTAAAAACAATATGAAAACACTTTATATTTGATTACTATGCCCACCAGGGCCAACAGAAAAAAAAGTGGGCCATCTTCTTTTTTCAGAACTCTTTCAGAATGCAATCGTCATCCCCTCTTAACCGTACCCCGAAGCTACCGTATCGCGAATTGCCATTTCATCTACAACTTCTCGTCGAGGGTCACCTCTCTTTTGCGACAAAAGTGTTGCTCCGTACCACTTCAAAGGTACACAGAGAGAGAGAGAGAGAGAGAGAGAGAGAGAGAGAGTGAGAGAGAGCGCGAGAGCGCGCGCGACGAATCCCTCGCCACCGGTCCCCGGATTCTCGTTTCTTTTCAGTTATTCTCGTCTCTACCCGCCGATCGTTTCCTCCTCCCAGGCCACTATCGATTCGTTCGAGTACAAATGGATGAGGTTAGTGGTTGTCCATGGATGCTCGCCTGTCGCCTTTTCAAAATGCCGCCCGATCAGAGTATCGCTTTTTCCGTTAAAGACCGCTAGAACTCTTGAACGCACACTGTCACCCCGAGGGTGCGCCCCCCAAGAACGCGCAGAGAGAGGCGTCATTAATGGCGCCCCGTACTGGGCAAAGGCCCTCTGGGGTTTGGGACGCCTCTGACTCCCTTCCCCACTCGGCCCTGTGGTATAGTGGCTAGCGCGTCGGACTGTGGAGCGAACCATCGCGGGTTCGACCCCCGCCCGGTGCGCATCTTCCTTGCTTTTAACGAAATTTCATCGTTCTGACGGTCTTTAAAGCGCACGTTCAGGGAGGGGCCGTATACTCGTCCCAACGTGTATACCCTATGCACGTAGGGACCGCGCGCACTGCCTGCCCGTGGCGTGGCAGGCCATTCCCCTCCTTTGCGGCGTGGGGCGCCCCCCACCCCCTCGCCTCGTTGTAGCTGTGGCTGACTGGTATGCATCCGCGCTTCCCGAGCGGGGGGCCCGGGTTCGACCCCCGGCCGCGGCAAAAATCTTTGCTTTTCCCACAACAAAAAAATTTCTTGGCCCGCGTTTTGTCCAGGCCTGGGGCCCCCTATGATTTTTTTTTTGAAAAATTTTTCTGCTTACTGTTTTTTTTAAGACAGTGCTTACTTCGATGAAGCCTATTTTTCCAAAATTTGCCTCCTGCGACGCTGGTTTTTCGTTTAGTGCATCAAATGGCAATAAAATTTTTCGCCTGCGACGCCTTTTTTGTAGTGTTTTCCCTGCAAACTTGATCATAACGAGCACGTTTTTCTAAATTCCGCCTCGGCTACGGGCCCCCGGACGTGGCTCCTGGGCTCGACTCCTGGCCGCGGTTTTTCAGGGGCAGAAAAGGTTGGGTATCCCTTTCCAGGGGCCGCGGCTCGGCAGTTTTCAATTTCTCGTCCCGGCGCCGCCCGGCCCGAAAAATGGCGATTTTTCTCGGTCCGGGCCGGCCGGCCGTTTGTCGCACCCTACAGCTAACTAACCAGAACCCGGCCGTGCATTCCGCCTTTAAAAAATTCGAGATTAGGAAATTCGAGCTTCCGAAATTCGAGTAACTGTTTCGGGATCTTGGTCAGCTTCCCTCGTTGGCCTCCCTGAATCAAGTGAATTTTCTTAAATCCTCTTGTTCCAGCCGCGCTACCCATCGTGGGGCCTGAGTTTCAACGTCAACGACGATCCAGGTGATTTCTGAAACGGTTTTCTCTATTTCAGTTTTCAGGAGAGAGGGAGATAGAGAGAGAGAGAGAGAGAGAGAGAGAGAGAGAGATAGAGAGAGTGGGAGAGATAAAGAGAGAGCGAGAGAGAAAGAGAGAGAGCGAGGGAGAGAGAGAGAGAAAGAGAGAGAGAGAGAGAGCGAGAGAGAGAGATGGAGCGAGAGAGAGAGAGAGAGAGAGAGAGAGATAGAGAGAGAGAGAGATAGAGAGAGAGAGAGAGAGAGAGAGAGAGAGAGAGAGAGAGAGAGATAGAGAGAGTGGGAGAGATAAAGAGAGAGCGAGAGAGAAAGAGAGAGAGCGAGGGAGAGAGAGAGAGAAAGAGAGAGAGAGAGAGCGAGAGAGAGAGATGGAGCGAGAGAGAGCAATTTTCAGATTTACGCGAGGCTCGTCATGAATGTCTTTCAATCCACATCGAAACCTATGATCCCAATCGGCTATATAGTATCCGTTGTCAACACATGAAAGCGTCGATCAGTGGCTGGCACGGAAAACGCCGTCTGGTGTCTGCGTTCCGGTCGACAGAATCGATAGATATGGACCGTTGCCATCGCATACTGGACAAGCTAACCAGGGTGCTGCGACGGCACCCAGTCGCCCTGCTACGCGGCTTCGCGGTAAGCTCTCTTTCACGCCCTCTCTCTCTCTCTCTTTCACTCTCTCTGGCCCGATTTGCTATCAGAATCTCGAAAATCAGTATCTCGAAAATCAGAATCTCGAAAATCAGAATCTCGAAAATCGGAATCTCGAAAATCAGAATCTCGAAAATCAGAATCTCGAAAATCGGAATCTCGAAAATCAGAATCTCGAAAATCGGAATCTCGAAAACTAGAATCTCGAAAATCAGAATCTCGAAAACTAGAATCTCGAAAATGTCTGCTTCTTGCCTATCAAAAAGAAAGAAAGAAAAAGCCGCCGGACAACTCCTATCTGCCTAAAAAAGATTGTATTTTGGTCTGGATTTTCGAGATTCTAATTTTCGAGATTCCGATTTTCGAGATTCCGATTTTCGAGATTCTGATAGTTTCCCTCTGGCTCTCTCTCTCTCTCTCTCTCTCTCTCTCTCTCTCTTTCTCTCTCTCTCTTTCTCGCTGTGTTCCTGATTTCTCAATCATTTTAGCCTGCTCCCGTGGCCGCCCTTGGTGAAATGTCCTTCTTCCGGCGCTCATATATTTCGATCGATGCCAACCGTATAACCACTTTTAACTGGGTCCTACGCGACGGGTTTGCATATAAATACATAATGAAATGGATATAGGGAGAGAGAAAGAGAGAGAGAGAGAGAGAGAGAGAGAGAGAGAGAGAGAGAGAGAGAAAGAGATAATGACACCATTTCAGCTACTTGCGCCTCGAAGAGTTTATTCCAAATGGATTGCAGTTATATCAGGTATCGTGTTAAATTAGCTTTTCCCGAGAAAATTAGGACTACCCGGCGTCCGGCCCTGCCTGTGTCAATAGTGTATTTTTACAATCTTTTTAGTAGTGTTTGATTGCTTGAAAATTATAACAACTTTTTGGTGTTATTTGGCTTTAACCCGTTATATTTGAAACCTGAGTAAAGTACTATTTGTTTGGATTTCGTTGTAGTATACGGTCGTGCTAAGTTACTGGGAGCAAAAAGTTGTTCCCCCCCGTTAAAGGGATAGCGCAAGCAGAAATCTGAGTGTTACTTGGCCTCCTTTCAGCTACAGCGAAAAGGCCCTTCCCCGCCAAAAAGATAGCCTGGGGGCACGCGTTATCACATCTGTGCATCTCGAATCCCCTCACTGGTGCGCTGATTTAGAATTCCGACCATCTCGCCGAAAAACCATCTCGGCGAAAACCATATCGCCGAAAACCAACTCGCCGAAAATCTAATTTTGTATGCAAATTTTTTCGCGTATTTGCGGTCATCCCCCAGGTCACAAAAAAGTAAAGAAAGTTGCTTTTTTTCAGGGTCTCTGTGCACGGACACTTCCCCTATGATTTGAGGCCGAAAACCGATTGGTTCAGTCATGCTTAGTGTTTTTTCCAGTATTAGACCAAAATGGGACAAGCCTGAAAAAAATTTGCATACAAAATTAGATTTTCGGCGAGTTGGTTTTCGGCGAGATGGTTTTCGGCGAAATGGTTTTCGGCGAGATGGTTTTCGGCGAAATGGTTTTCGGCGAGATGGTTTTCGGCGAAATGGTTTTCGGCGAAATGGTTTTCGGCGGGATGGTTTTCGGCGAAATGGTTTTCGGCGAAATGGTTTTCGGCGGGATGGTTTTCGGCGGGATGGTTTTCGGCGAAATGGTTTTCGGCGAAATGGTTTTCGGCCAAATGGTTTTCGGCGAAATGGTTTTCGGCGAGATGGTTTTCGGCGAGATGGTTTTCGGCGAAATGGTTTTCGGCGGGATGGTTTTCGGCGGGATGGTTTTCGGCGAAATGGTTTTCGGCGAAATGGTTTTCGGCGAACTGGTCCGATACCGCTGATTTACTGATGACCGCGGATGAGGATGCTGCCAAGCGCAAATCCAGCAAAATCTGGCAACGTTCCAGGAATCCACGTAACACGTGGACGCTGCTTGCGCTATCCCTTGAAAGGGATCGGGGCAACCGGGAAAGTACGACCCCCATGCAGCCCGTACGTCCTCCTGGAAAGTACGACCCCTGGAAAGTACACTCGCCCGGAAAGCACGGCCCCCAGTCGGCGGGACTCCTGGAAGTACGAACTCCAGGGCAATGACTAATAATGTTCGACCATCTTACCGCTTTTCCAAGTATTTAAAGCCGTTTTAGAGCTGAGCTTCGATTTTTTTAGAAAATAATTTTATAAAAAATGCTGAGGACGGGGGAAGCAATTTTTGGGCCTCGGGCTTGCCTGTAATGGCTTAAACTTTGCATAGGGTTGGCTTGGATTATACTTGGCTTAGGCTTGCTTTAGGTTTGGCCTTGACGTAGGCTTAGGCTTGGTTTTGTCTTGGCTTAGCGTTAGCTCAGATCAAGCTTAGGATTAAGCCTAGGCTTTGTTTACTAGGGAATGGTCTCCGCTCGGCCTCGAATTTCGGGTTGAAAGTTAGCTCACCTTGTAGAGCTCGACGAGACGAATCGAATGATGTAACTTTTCGGAGCGGAGACCATTCCCAAGTTAGGTTAGGCTTACAAGGAGTCGTTTTTAGGTGCGTTTGGAGTTCCGGGACGGGACCTAGCTAGTTCGATAGATAAAAAAATTCTGAGCAACATCCCGTTTTCAAAAAGTGCTGATCGATAAAGGTGTTTTAGAAAATTTAATTTAATTAAAAATGTTCCCGGTATCCGGACCCTTGTGGCGATTTGAGGTGATTTGCGGCGATTGACCGCCCCTGCCACATGGGGACTTCACGTGCCCTGGATCCCGTCCTATGGATGGCCAAGTGGCTAGTGCGTCGGCCTACGAAGTTTTTTTTGGCCTTTTGCCACAAGTTCGATTCTTACTTATCGTTAACTCTTTGCTTTTTTGCTAATTAAAATTTTATGCACCGATATCGGGTTCAAGAACCAAAAAGCAAACGGTTAGCCAGCGCGAAGATTCGAACCCGAGGCAAATAAAATGTTAAAAAGTTGGTAGGCAAGCGCACTACCAATACGCCAATGCAACCCGTGATGGAGGGCTTGCCGGAATTTTATGAATGGCGCCTTGCTCAGCACCGAAAACGACGTGTACCGAGGAAATGGACCCGAAAACTAAAAAAAATTAAATTTTCTGAAATTCCTCTATCGATCAGCACTTTTTGAAAATGGCATGGTGTTCAGAATTTTTTCTCTATCGAACTAGCTAGGTCCCGTCCAGAAACTCCAAAAGCACCTAAAAGCGACTCCTTGTTAGATTAGGCCTGGCTTGGTTAGCGTAGGCCTGAGGAGCAGCTTAGGCCGGTAAAAGCCGCCGAAAAAGTCATTATAGCCCTCCGTGGACAGTTCGTGAAAATTCGGCGGCAGACAATCGCAAGTAGCGCATAAATAACTAGCTAAAACGCTACCACTAGTTACAATTTAATATTATAAAGCTTTGACCAAGGGGTCGTACTTTCAAGGGATCGTACTCCCCTGGAGGTCGTACTTTCCAAGGTGCCCAGCGCACTGGGGGTCATACTTTCCAGGAGAGTGTACTTTCCAGGGGTCGTACTTTACAGGAGTCGTAATTTCCAGGAGGACGTACGGGGTCGCATGGGGTCGCACTTTACAGGTTGCGATCGGGATCGCCCACGAAGATCAGCTAAAAACCGGTGACGCGGGGGAAAGGCGGTCTCTGCTCCCTCCCCCCTGGGCGCTCTCTCGCCCTCACTGACCGGGCTGGCAATTTGCCAATAATCGATAAGCCCTGATCGACGTCGGCGATCCTTATCCCTTTCAACGGGAAGCACCCGATGTTTTTCCGGGATCACGCGCATTTTTTTAGGTGTCCTTTAACCCAAACCGTCTCCACGCCCCAAGCGACTATTTTCACATTTGTGTCGACGCCTTTGAAAAGGTACACCCAATCCCTGCATTTCTACATTTTATTTCTCGTCGTCAGCTAATCGACGTGCCACTTCTGCGCTTCAATCAAATCTATGAGTCAAAAGCGGACTGTCTCGAATCGTTGACAATCATCGAGCGGCTCATTCGTCATATTGTCAAGGTATCTACACTGCGAATCAGTCAAAATTTCGCAAAATCGAAATCGCGAACGTTCAGAATCTCTAATTTTCAGAATCTCTAATTGTTAGAGTCTCGAATTTTTGAGAATCCTGAAAGTTCCATTGTCTAAACAGCATTCAAAAATGCTCCGGCAATGATAAGCATGCGCCCTGAGCCCGGCCTTATCTATTGCGGGAATCATTCCGTGAACCTATTCCGGGAATAATTCCGGGAATCATTCCGGGAATCGGGAAAAATATTCCCGGAATCATTTTCATCTCTATTCCGGGAGCCTATTCCGGAAACGGTTACCGCAATAGATTCCCGGAATTAGATGAAAACGATTCCGGGAATCGATTCCCGGAATCATTCCCTGAATAGTTTTCATCTATTCCGGGAATCTCAGCACATTCCCGGAATTCCAACACTTGAAAATTCCTCGAATTAAAAAATGTAGTTGTTAAAAGCGAAAAATTCCAGTATTTGTATGAAGAGGTAGCCAAAAGCATTCCTGCCGGTAAATAAAGGTTTCAATTTTTTAACTTCGAAAATTCTCCGTCACTTCGCTGGGAACTACCCGATTAATTTGAAACTTTGTATATTAGCTAATGAAGCCCCTTTTAAGCTACTGTGAAAATTTCAGGAATTTTGGTGGTGTTTCACCTAGATTCCCGGAATGGTTACCCGACCTTTTGGTCGGGTAGGCCCAGCCTTAACAAAATTATTCCCGGAATTACATTCCGGGAATTTACCTAAAATTCCCGGAATAGATGAAACGCATTCCGGGAATTGATTCCCGGAATGGGTTACCGGAATAGCATTCCGGGAATCTATTCCGGGATTCCCGGAATAGATGAAAACGCATTCCGGGAATCGATTCCCGGAATCATTCCCGGAATTAATTCCGGGAGATTCAGGGAGATTCCGGGAATGATAAGAGGCGTTCCCGGAATATTCCCGGAATAGATAAGGCCGGGCTCTGAATCCAGTCTCGGCATATTTCGAGATTCTGAAAATCCAAGATTCTGAAAATTCGAGATTATGATTTTCAAGGTTCTGATTACGATATGTAATTCTCCGTCTTTAGACTCCACCATTGGGCCACCAGAAGCGGATTGTCGCTTTTCGAACATTCACCCGTAGTTCAGACGCGCGGCGACAGGTATGTAGCTGTTCATGTCGGAGCTTCTCTTCATCTGTCCATCCCTCAAACAATCTTTGCTAGCCTGCCCCCTTCCATCAGACAAATTCAGGAGGATCGTGCTGACTATCTGCTTGAAATGGATTTGATGTTGAATAGACTATGCGATAGCTTCAATACCTCACCACCTTCGTCCCCTCTCCAGGCAAGACTGGTTTCCGGCGGGCTCGTCGACATAGCCAAATCGCCGACAGCCACTTTCTTGTATCCTAACTAGGGACTGTTTTCGGGCGGACATCGGACCCAGATATGTGAGTATGTGCATCTTGTAGAGCTCGACGAGACGAATCGATTGATGTAACTTTTAGCTGCGGATACCCTTTTTTAATAAAGTTACAGCAGTTTAAAGTTCTGACGAAGTTTTCGATACCTACATAACCGCTCCTCACACCCCAACCGCCGTGCTCTGGTAGTCTAGTGGGTTAGTGGTCGGCGTCTGGGGATGGTAACGAGGGTACGGATCCGCTCACGATTTTCATTTTTTGCTTTTTGGTCGAAAGCTTCCATTTTGCATCCCGAAGGATTACATTAACTTTTTTTTAATTTTTTTGAATTAAATCCCCATTAAATAAACATAAGCGGAACACAGAGGATTTTTCGAGCTATAGGCAACAACCTTGGTGCGGGTAAAACTTGCAAAAAACCAATGAATACTGTCACCAACTTCTTTGGTGTGGGTGCTGGAGATAAAAACGAAAAAAAGTTAATGTAGTCGTTCGGGATGCAAAATGGAAGCTTTCGACCAAAAAGCAAAAAATAAAAATCGTGAGCGGATCCGTACCCTCGTTGCCATCCCCAGACGCCAACCACTAACCCACTAGACCACCAGAGCACGGCGGTTGGGGTGTGAGGAGCGGTTATGTAGGTATCGAAAACTTCGTCAGAACTTTAAACCGCTGTAACTTTATTAAAAAAGGGTATCCGCAGCTAAAAGTTACATCAATCGATTCGTCTCGTCGAGCTCTACAAGATGCACATACTCACATATCTGGGTCCGATGTCCGCCCGAAAACAGTCCCTAGTAAGGGTGACAGAATGTTAATTACCCCCAAGATTTGACTAATTTGCTTTCACGGTTTGGATGCAATGCTTGGGTAGGTGCTGAACGCCGGCGAGGCCTGTCGGCGGGTTGGCTGTCGGCGAGTTAGTTGACCGTTACCGTAAGAATATAACATATCGGCCTCATTTTTCGCCTTTTTCTAGTACCATAATATTGAGAATATTTCCAGGTATACGTGGATGAGGGCCGTACGGCAAGCCCAACTTGGCGCGCAATAGACTTTGCCACAGAAACAGGAATCCGCATAGTTATGGTACAAAACTATTCATTCGAAGGCTTTCGACAACTCCTGCATCAGGTACCCCGAATTATTTACGTTCATCTTGCCGATTCGATTTGCATTTCGATCTATGTTTATGCATGCCAACACGCCTGTAGCTGCGCCCAATGCCCCGGGGGGGGTACGGACAAGGTCCTTTGCCGAAAAATTATTATTTTCACAAATGCGAAATGTGCACACTCACTCTCTACCCCACACCCGCTTGCCCACTCTCTCTCTCTCTCTCTCTCTCTCTCTCTCTCTCTCTCCCAATCTCTCCCTCACTCTCTCTCCCCACTCATTCTCTCACTCTCTTTCCTCGCTCTCTTCTCTCTCTCTCTCTCTCTCTCCCAATCTCTCTTCACTCTCTCTCTCTCCCCCCACTCATTCTCCCTCACTCTCTTTCTCTCGCTCTCTCTCTCTCTCTCTCTCTCTCTCTCTCTCTCTCTCTCCCTTACTCTGCAGATGGTCGATTAGTCCGTCTGTAGGTGATCGAAAATTCATAGGGGTCCCCCATTGTCAACTTTTTTGTAAAAAAATAGATATTTCAACCAGAAAAGAAGAATGTTTTGTATTTATTTCAAATCAAAATTTGGCAAGTTTTTACGCTTAGGAATGGTAAAAACAGTCGAGGAGCGTTTCGGCTAGTTATATTTAAAAAAAACTGGGTCCTAAGCAAAAAAATTAATCCTCCCCCGATCCGACAGAGAAGCTTCTTTTTTTAACATCATAGAAACTACAACGTCTAATTAGCCTGTATAAAAAAAGTAAACAGAGTTCCCAAACTACCCGGGACTCCTTTTTTTCCTTTTTTTCCTTTTTTTTTATTTCTCCCCTTTCTTTCCTTTTTTTTTTTCCCTTTTTTTAAGCAGTTACCCGTGAAATTTTAGTCGCCATGGCCTGCACAGCACATTGCAACGGAACCAATGATTCGGCCAATGGAAGAGCTACTCCTTCGATGGACCTCCAGCCGCACCAAAAACCATCCCTACGCTTACCGAGCCGAAAACTGATCAACATCGACTGTCCAGCTGGATTCTTTATCCAAAAAAAATACTTGTAAACGTTCAATCTCCCCAAAAAACAGACATGGCAAACGGCCGGGCCGTCGGCTTTTTTCGGCCGGAAAAATTAGAATGCGGCCGAGCCGCGCGGCTGGGCCAGGGCTTCCGGTTCGGCCCCGGCTTTTTATGTTTTGGGCCGGAGCCCGGCCAAGCCGCCGGCTTTTGAAAGCCGGGCCGGACCCAAATGAGATTTTCGCGTTTCCGGTACGCAAATTGCGGATTCAATCAATATACAGTAGCGGACAAAAGTATTGGAATTTTTTCTTTTTGACAAAATCTCGGGCGATTTAGCTCGGGTGAGCCAAAAGTTGGTTCCAATAGATTCGAGATGCTTTCATATGCATTGTTAAAACCGGCGATCCATAGTCAAGAACATTAGGAAAAATTTCAAAGATCGACGACATGGGTTCTTTCGAAGCCTAGAAAACGAGCAGGTAACCTCGTAGAGTTTTTATCGATGCAAAGCGCCAACTACAGCTGAAATTTGCTCTTCTCATAGGCGGTTCCATCCGGGCGCTGAGGATTTTGAAATCTCGATTTTGATAGAGGTTTCTTTTTGCCTCTAACTCTTTGAATAGTTTTAATGCCAGTTTTCTCTATATTTCGGATAGAGCAGCTTAAGACGAGTTTCGATATGCTATAGTCACTAGGAAACACGCTCCACGCAGAGTTGCGTAGGGCCCAGTTTTTCAGTCGGCGGCGTCCGTAGTAAATGGGGCCCTATCTATGGAAAGGACACCCAAACCCCCGTGCAAAACTGGGCCGTCTCTTCGCCGGGGCGTGGCGAAAACTATGGACTGCTATATGAAATGTTCGCCCTGAGTGCCCTATCCGAATATATAGAGCAAACCGGCAGTAACATATTCATAGAGTTAAGGCAAAAAGCAAATTTTCATAGTAATCGGTTTTCAAATTCCTCAGCGTTTCCGGGATGGAATCCCTTGAGAAAAGCAATTTTAGCTGTATTGGCGCTTTCGCATCCATAAAGGCTCTACAAGGTTACCTGCCGTTTTCTGGCTAGAAAGAAAATCCCAATACTTTGTCGTTGATCTTTTGAAATTTTCTCTAATTTTCTTGTACTATGGAGTTGCCGGTTTTAACACATTGCATATGAAAAAGCATCTCGAATTCTACTAGGGACCAACTTTTGAGCTCACCTCGAGCTAAATCGCCCGGTTTTGTCAAAAAGAAAAAATCCCAATACTTTTGTCCGCTACTGTAGCTTTATGGCAAGAGAAAAATCACTCCACCATAGAAATTTGGTCATTTCCATTCACAATTTTGCATAGGATCCACAGATTCTCACGTAAATAAACAACTTCCGGTTTCCCGGCTCGGCCGGACCGGCTTGGCCGGGCCGCAACAAAAAGCCGGCTGGGCCGGGAAGCCGGGTTTCCAGAAGTAGGTCATTAACGCGGCTCGTATGGGGCCGGGTTTTTATGGAAATGGGGCCGGCCGGGATTGCCATGTCTGCCAAAAACTGCTCGAAATCAACTGTTTAGCTCGATTCTGTATCAAGAAATAGGTATAAAGTTTCATTCCACTGAAAAACTGCTCGAAATCAACTGTTTAGCTCAATTGCTTATCGAAAAACCATCTGGCCTTCGGGCTAAACCTACCTACATGTCCTACTCTACCACATCCTTTCCGACCTCCATCATACCCCGCTACGACTTAGATCCCCCCCCATAGCCGAAATCCCCTTCAAAAACTACCTAAATACCTTTCTGATGGCTTTAGATACTTTAAATGATTTAAATGATGAATTAAAATACATTAAAAGTATTAAAAATGGCAAACGGCCGGGCCGCCGGCATTTTGTAGTTTGTATCCCAGTTTAACAAGTACCGAGCGAATCTAAGCCGAAATCTCAATAAGCAAAAAGTTGGCGTTGGTGATGAGGGAGTGGCCCGTTAAACTGGGACACAAACTACAAACTGTCGCCCAGACGACCCGAGTTCGACCCCCGGCCGCCGCCAACTCCTTGCCTTTCCGGTTTTCGGCCCGGATTTCGATGGGAATCGTGAAACTGGCTGCCAGACTACAGGCTACAAGGGTCGGGCTCCGGCCGACATGGTCCGATTGTCAGCTGCCTTCTTGCGCTCCAAATTTATTAGGCTAAAAGATGCAAAATATCAACAATCTTCAATGGTTCATTTCTGGAATAAAAGTTTTCCGGTTCAGGAAAAATTTTGCTTTTAATATCACAATCAAATAACGGGGGGCGGGGGGGATAGAAAAATATGAAGATCAGCCGAAAACCACAACCGAATCGCCCGAAAATCCCATTTTTGATTCGGCATTTTCGCAAATAATTGTCGGGATTCTGGGTGTCGGCATTTCGGGTTTCCGTTCAGCTGCTGTCCCCGTTGCGTCGCTTCTGAAATTCGGGGTATCAGTTCCGGAATCTTCAGAGTATATTTTTCCCCAAATGACCCCTGCTAGCCTGCTGCCCCCCGGTACTACACTGTTAACGGGGGGTAAGTATTGACTAGTAGTTTTAATCACCTTTTTATTTTTAAATTTACCCTTAATTTAATTCCTAGGAAGTTCCAAAAAAACATTTACAAAACATGGGCCGTTTTGGCCATTTTTTCATACATTTTTCACCCAAAAACTCAAAAATTTCCGAATTTCCGATTTCCGAAATTTTCGCGGATTTTTTAGAACTAAAACGGTGTCAAATGCTACAAAAACTGTTTGTATTTTTTATAGGATTGTACAGAATTATTAGAGAAAATTTCGCCCCCCCGCTAACAGACCAGCACCGAAAATTGGGCCGGAAGGCGGGCAGGTTGTCGATAATCCGGTGGCCCTATTAGCCGGCAAAACCAACGAACGGTTCCCTCCCTCTCTCTCTCTCTCTCTCTCTCTCTCTCTCTCTCTCTCTCTCTCTCTCTCTCTCTCTAATCCCTCCCCCAGTTGCGTCACTAAAAGCTGCCCAGTCTACCGTATCCCCCATCCCTAATTGCCCTCAGGTCATTAGCCCTCAGCTCCTCTTTAAATTGGCGGGTACACCATCCAAAAGTCCCCTCCTCACCCCCCCTAGAAAATGCCAAAATTACCGTAACCCCGTAATTGCGATAACAATTGACGCGGGAAGAGACACCGATTACGTGAATGGGCAGGCTAGCAGAGATTGTTTGAGGAAATGGAAAGAATGGGGCAGGCTAGCAGAGATTGTTTGAGGAAATGGAAAGAAGGGGCAGGCTAGCAGAGATTGTTTGAGGAAATGGAAAGGGGGCAGGCTAGCAGAGATTGTTTGAGGAAATGGAAAGAAGGGGGCAGGCTAGCAGAGATTGTTTGAGGAATGGAAAGAAGGGGGCAGGCTAGCAGAGATTGTTTGAGGAATGGAAAGAAGGGGGCAGGCTAGCAGAGATTGTTTGAGGAAATGGAAAGAAGGGGGCAGGCTAGCAGAGATTGTTTGAGGAAATGGAAAGAAGGGGGCAGGCTAGCAGAGATTGTTTGAGGAAATGGAAAGAAGGGGGGCAGGCTAGCAGAGATTGTTTGAGGAAATGGAAAGAAGGGGCAGGCTAGAGAGTTGTTTGAGGAATGGAAAGAGGGGCAGGCTAGCAGAGATTGTTTGAGGAAATGGAAAGAAGGGGGCAGGCTAGCAGAGATTGTTTGAGGAAATGGAAAGAAGGGGGCAGGCTAGCAGAGATTGTTTGAGGAAATGGAAAGAAGGGGGGCAGGCTGCAGAGATTGTTTGAGGAAATGGAAAGAAGGGGGCAGGCTAGCAGAGATTGTTTGAGGAAATGGAAAGAAGGGGCAGGCTAGCAGAGATTGTTTGAGGAATGGAAAGAAGGGGGGCAGGCTAGCAGAGATTGTTTGAGGAAATGGAAAGAAGGGGGCAGGCTAGCAGAGATTGTTTGAGGAAATGGAAAGAAGGGGGCAGGCTAGCAGAGATTGTTTGAGGAAATGGAAAGAAGGGGGGCAGGCTAGCAGAGATTGTTTGAGGAAATGGAAAGAAGGGGGGCAGGCTAAGAGATTGTTTGAGGAAATGGAAAGAAGGGGGCAGGCTAGCAGAGATTGTTTGAGGAAATGGAAAGAAGGGGGCAGGCTAGCAGAGATTGTTTGAGGAAATGGAAAGAAGGGGGCAGGCTAGCAGAGATTGTTTGAGGAAATGGAAAGAAGGGGGCAGGCTAGCAGAGATTGTTTGAGGAAATGGAAAGAAGGGGCAGGCTAGCAGAGATTGTTTGAGGAAATGGAAAGAAGGGGGCAGGCTAGCAGAGATTGTTTGAGGAAATGGAAAGAAGGGGGCAGGCTAGCAGAGATTGTTTGAGGAAATGGAAAGAAGGGGGGCAGGCTAGCAGAGATTGTTTGAGGAAATGGAAAGAAGGGGGGCAGGCTAGCAGAGATCCTTTGGAAAAGGCCATCCGATTACGCCATTAAATTGCGTGCCTTCCAGATTGTGTGGTGCACGTGTTTCCAATCCAAATGGAAAGAAGGGGGCAGGCTGGCAGAGATCATTTGCTGTAACATACCGGTGGTCTCTCCCCACTATGCCACCGTAAATGTGCCTTCAGATGCGAACTCTTATTGTAGATCTTCCCACATCCCGGTATATGACAGTTGTGAATGCCTCGTCGTTTCGCTGGGATGTTGGAGAGGCCTGCAAAATGGATTTAAAGCCGTGTTTTGAGCGATTTTCATGGCCTAATCGGTTTTTTTTCGGGAATTTTTGGATAAATTCCTCAAACAATCTCTGCTAGCCTGCCTACTACATTTAGCATTAGCTAGCAGAGACCATTGAGGAATTGGGGACAGGCAATTTTCACACCGGGTATTTCCCATTTTCATGGCCTACTGTATTGTTTCCGCAGTCCCGGGCGCGCTGGGAGAGCCATTTTGCGGTATTTTGCCCTAATTTTTGCGTAAATCCGCAATCTGTCCGCCAGTTTCTCCATCTGCTAGTCGTTCTCCCCTACGTTTCAATTCTTTGTCTC